ACTCTCAAAGCCTTGACATCCGGGTATCCGGGAGACAAGTCGGTAAATTCGAGTAAAATCACAGGCTTCGCTTATCCCGTGCGAATGCACCACACGAAATTCAGAGGTGGGGGGTTAATTTCAAAATCACACAAGGTCCCCAGATAATACTAATCCCGTGCGAATAGGGCGTAAAATAGGGCGCAAAGGACATTTTTCTGGCATTTCTCTAGTTATGCAGTTTTTTAGGGCTAAATGCAAGTTTTAAACTCTGAAACAGTGAGTTCAGATTCTTTATAAGATAAAAGACTGTCTCCGGTGGCTGGATGAACAAGCTGAAACGGATTGTGAAATCCTGGGAAACAGATGAAGACATTCAGAAGACCTACAGACTCACACAGTCTCCAATTTCTTGCAAGTTTCAAGTGTCAAACACGGCGAAAATGGCCCATTAACTCGATCTAAAGTGTCAGAAACAGCAGTTGTGAGTTCAGCTGTAAGTTCAGCAGGTAAAGTAGCAACTGGCAGACAGCGACGCGAACAGCTACACACCACTAATCGATGAAAAGCTTAAGCCGGATGAAGAAATAAAAGCCAAAACATATAAATGATACTTACTTTTTTGAAGATGCGGTCAGTCTCTTGAGTATGGACCGTTATGTGCGTTATGTTCAGTCTCTCACGCGCTTCACTGTACAGTTGGAGAAGCTGCGTGACGTCATCATCCAGGAGGAGTCCCGGACTAAAAACACGGACAATCCCTGTGACTCTTTACAGCTTTTCAACTGCCATAATAATTTACACGCCAAGATTTGTGTTAAGGTATATACCTCATTATCCCATATAGTGTAAATGTACTTGAATGTTTGTAGTTCTATGCATTTTATTTCACTTTTTTTTGAAGATGCATGTTGCATTTATTAGATTAAATTGCATTGAAAATCCTGCTATATTTAATAAGTCTGATTTCATTTTAATTAGGCCTCATGTAGTGGGAGCTTTCTGAATTTCGACCGCATTCTTAATACACTGGCAGTCACTACAGAAGTTGCGACATTAAAATTATACGTAGGCCTAATCAACTAATCAAGTTCAACCGTTTTGAGGACTATGTCTAAATATAAATATTTGGCGGCACCTGGTGGGGATTTAACATACAACAAAGCGGTTTGTGCCTTAGTCTTACCGCAAATGAGGCCTGCAACTTAAACTTAAACTCAGCTAACTGGCATGTCGCCATCCCTCACCAGTGTTGGGGGTAATATATTACAAGTAACGCAAGTTACGTAATCAGATTACTTTTTTTCAAGTAACTAGTAAAGTAACGCATTACTTTTTAATTTACAAGAGAATATCTGAGTTACTTTTTGAAATAAGTAACACAAGTTACTTTTTTTTCAATTTATTGATTGACAGCTCTCCTGTCCTCATGTTGAGAGAAATCAGAAGATGTTACTGGCCTCGTTTTCATTCCTGTCAAAAATTAAATATGGCGCTAGCCTTACTATAAGGTCTATGGTTTCAAACTTCCTCTATACAAGTATACAAGTAGATTGTTATAAAGTAGATTTCTAAAGCTTTCAAAGTGAATGCTTCATGTCAACAGCCATCCTAACCATTTTTTTCTTTATTTCTTGTAGCTTGTCACTCCTCAGCGGAATGCTAAGTTGAAGTATTTTTTTTATATATCTCTTTTTAATAGGTTTTTATTGAACTAAGATTCATTACATTCCTATCGATATTTTATATAATGTCATGTCCAGTTGTCCTCTATGTAAATGATTAATTTATTAACAAAAGTTTCCAATTATGTAAATTCGTTTGATCCATATCATTCATAATTGGCAACATGCTTTTATGGTATGGTGATATTTCTCCTATATTGTAAGTATAAAGAAAATCTGCAATGATTGTTTCTTATGCCAAATTTACACTGTAAAGGTGGCACAGAAGTGCTTCTGAAGTGGCATTTAGGTATCTTTATGCAGACTGTTTAATGCTGCTCAGAGGTGGCATAAATGCATTTACACAGCAATTACAACTGTATATTTTGATACTTGAGGTTGAGGTGGGTCTGAACATGCATAAGTTACACTAAATTTTGAGCAGGCACAGACCTAACTCGGCTGTGAAAAGACACTGAAAGGTTTTCATTTATGGGCATGTTTATCTCTGTATGGTGTCTCCAAACCCAGAGCAGTTTAGCTCTGCTTCTGGAGATCTACCTAGCTCAAATGCTCAGTTGATTTTGTTGTGTTTGAGTTCATGTGGAACTACAAACTGCAGGATTCTTAAGCGGGATCTGCAGCCCTGCTTAATAATCAGCTATCAAGTTGCACAGATAGGTAATACGACCACAAGATGTCATCCAAAACCAGCTAATAGGAATTTTTTGCCTTTGTCATTGAACTTTTTTTTTTTTTAATCGTTGCGTGCAAAAATAAAAATAAATAAATAAAATTCTTGTTATGTTGTTGAACAGTCTTTTATGTTATTGTAATTACTAGACTACTGTAATCGATGATATTAGATATGTGTATCTTGGACACTGGAATATGTTGGAATATTAGAAATATGATCTTAACATTAATAGAACACATAAAATTGATCACATTTAGTTGCCACACTGGGCAGCTCACTTTTCCTGTAATGAATTTCTCGTAAGCCAATTGAAGTGAAATCTTGTGGTAAATGTTAATCATGTATGGGAAAGTTCAAAAAACATAAAAAACTCCACACCTTGAATATGTCTGTTCTGTTCAGTATTTGATTTGAATGGTCCTTTAAAAAAGTTTTTCTCATTTGTCAGACTAAAGTTGACCCAGCTCCTTGATCTAAACTTATAATGTTTTTTTCTGATCTTATTATTATAAAACATAATTTATTATTATTATAATTATTATTTAAATCCTTGTTACTGAATTTGATTAGTTTGAACAAGCTTTAAATGAGTAGTAAACCAAAATGGAATAAACATTTTTAATTGATATCAATTTATTTCATTATTCAATCAAATAATGCATATTTAGCCAGTAAAACCTGAAAAGTTTGGGACCTGAAGGTATCCTGACCACTGACATCTCTCTTGAAACAGACACACTCTTTCTTTTTTTCTTTTTAAGAGCTCAGTTAATGAGCTCATTTATAATTAAAGAGCATTGATTTTGTGCAGCGGCTCTGATAATTTGAAACACACTTTGTGAAGCCTTTATTTTACATGCTTACCCTGTCAAGCACTTGGTGTTGCCCTGCAAGACCGACTAGAAGAAAACAGATCAATGCTCACTGAATAAAAATTATGAAATTTGAAGTCATTGCTGTCTTAGTCCTTCAAAAAGGTTTGAATGGAAAATAAAAAAAAAAAGCTTCACAGATGTGATAAACCACTGGGTCTAGCATGATAACAACCCATATTTGTTTCTCTCTCTAAAGTGGAAATATATTGATCTCAACGAGTGATCGCTGAAGCCATCAAAAGTCAAATGCAGGTTTGGTTCTTATACCCCCCGATGAGTGTCGTTAGAAGTGCTCCATGAGAGAAAGCCTTTTGATGAACAACAATGATTGTGTGATTATTTTGAACTCTGAACCAGAATCTTGAAAAGCATATCAACAGTGACAAAAGAATAAAAAAACAAAATAGTTTGACATTCAGAGGAACAGAAAGATATTCATAACTTCAGAAAAATGTGCTCCCTTTCTGATAACATCTGTTGAAAGGAGAATTTTGTCAAAGTAATGAAAGAAAGATTTTAAATATGTACTGCCGAAAAGCATTTGTGGAATGCACTGCTATTGTGTGGGTAGTCAAATTGCCAGTGGGATTTGATTTACAAGACCAGAGACCATGCCTGAACATTTATCAGCCATTTACAGAGACAGTAGTGAAACGGCATAGTGAGGTGGACTCTATTAATATTACTCTACTAATATTAATATTATTTACTGTTATCATTGGTTAGGTTTTAGTATTACTGTATGTCAGTGTGCTTGTAATCGAACTGCGCCGGTTTCTTCTGCCCATGGTTTAATACTCATAGATCTTATTAACTTGATGCACTAATGTATATCTGTTGGCAGTAATACTCACAGGATTAGATTGCATATGCCTCTCCTTTCCTCTCCTGTGGGCTTAGAAAGGAAGTGATTTTCCTCACCAGCTGTTAGAAATGATTCTAATCCCACTTGCTCCAATGTTGTGCATCTCTGGGGCTCTATTGTCCTCAGATGTTTGCTGCAACCATAAACGGCACCATCTGATTCATTCTTCTAGGACCAGTTAATTAGATAAATCAAGAGTCCTGCTCAGTTGGAACAAACACCTGTGGACAAACAGCACTAGTGAAACTGCTCAGACAGGAACACATAGAGATTGATTACTACATGCTGCCTTTGTGAGCAGCTGGTTGTATAAAGGCAACTTCCAAAGTGGAAGAGGCTTAGTGGCTGCCCTGTTTTACACACAAGGGAAAATGAAAGAACATGCAAAAAAAAAAAAAAAAAACGCTTTACAAGTGCACTTCCTCCTTCTTTCACTTGGTGTCAGCAATGCTTTGGCCAGATTATTGGCAACATGAATGCACAGTAAAAACTATGTGTTCATACTTTGCATAAACCTAAAGGTCTCTCAGAACTTAGTTATGTATGATTATATAAGAACTCGTTGTTATATATGATTTTTGTGAATATTTACTACAGTGTGAGAAATAATGTAGCAAACATAAAGAATTGTAATGATCAGTTCTGATTATTAAAAAAATATTAAAAAACAATTTTTATTTTTGTAGCACATTTAAAACAATTGCCATTGACCAGAGTGCTTTCCAGCATAATACATACAATGAATACAATATAAGCAATTACATGCATCCACACAAACTCAATTAAATCCTGTTCAGTCTAATCAGATCTTCATGGGGAAGATTTAATGTGCACTGGAAGAGTGTTTCATTAACGAGGAGCAACCACAGAAAAGGCCCTGTCACCCTTTGATTTTAATCTAGTTTTAGGAATATGAAGAATTGTCTGGTTAGATCTCATGATCTCATATGCCTTGTGTGTTGATAAGATATCAAAAGGTCAGCACAAAATTGCGTGCAAAATTTTAAAAACAAACAACAGAACATTATAATTTTGAAAAACAATCAGTTAAAAAAATTAAATAACATTACTGAACTAACCAACAATGTAGTAACACAAGCTATAATTTATTTATTTATTCATAATGCAAAACTCATATTCTATAACTAGGCCAACACATTATCATATGAAGGACCCACTCTTAAAAATAGAGGTTCAAAATGATTTTTTGCTGTGATGCATTAGAAGAACAAATTTGGTTCCCTATAGAACCTTTCAGTGAACAGTTCCCAAAAGAACCACTTTTTTGGTAGTGTGAAGAACATTTTAATAATCTACTGAAATTTTTGTGGAATGGAAAGGTTCCATGAATGTTCAAGGTTTTTTGTGGAAACATCAATACCAATAAAGAACCTTTATCTTTTACCTATTTAAGTCTCACAAGCCTTAAATAACAAAACGCAATGGTTGCATGTGTTTGATTCACTTTCATAAGAGTCATTTGTTCGGGAATCGGACTACATTGTAATGAATCAAAAACATACAGCTTGACCAAAGAACCGTCTCAGAGCAGTCATTCACTGGGGAATCAGACTAAACTTTTGGGTAATTAGTTATGCGCTGGCGATTCAGTATAGCGATGCCACTGATGATTAGTTCAGGAAACTTTGACAAGAGTATTTTA